AGTTTCACTCATGTTACCCAGGCTGGAGTGCAATGGCACGATCTTGGCTCACCGCAACCTCCGCCTCCTGGGTTCAGGCAATTCTCCTGCCTCAGCCTCCTGAGTAGCTGGGATTACAGGCTTGAGCCACCGTGCCCGGCCGGTATTTTTATTTCTTAATAAATTACATTGGTGTTTATTTTTAAAGCTATGTATGGACGTGGATTGAAGAAACAATACACGTTTTTATTTGAAAGAAAAAAAGCCACTCCCTTCATCTTCCCCAAGATGACCACTACCAAGAAGGTACACTCTTGTCACCCCCCCACTCCGACCACCATTATTATTTTGCTCTTTATGTGGACATACTTTTAGCTCTTTTAGGTGATTGGATATTTGCTCCAGTATTTTTCTCAACTAGGTTGACCCAAAAGTTTAAAGTAACAGCCACTATAGATTTAAGTCAAAGTTAATTTTATTCTGAGCCAAGTTTGAGGACTATAGACCAGGGACACAGACTCAGAACAAACTGGGAGTGTGTCCCTTTCTGTCATAATTCGGTAGGTCAGAATTAGAAGAAAGAGTATGTTGGATAAAACAGACAATAGAAGACCACCCTTACATACATTCTGTGGCTGTTAGTTCAAATTGATAAGCTAACGTAATTTTGGCAGGAGTTTTATTCTTTTGGTAATGTTTTTGCAGTATTTTTAGTACTTGTAACATAGAAATATTAGAAAAATATTAGAAAAAAACAGACAACAGAAGACCACCCTTACATGCATTCTGTGGCTGTTCAAATTGATGAGCTAACATAATTTTGGCTGGAGTTTTATTCTTTTGGTAACATTTTTGCAGTATTTTTATTATCTGTAATATAGAAATATTAGAAAAATAATCAACAATATGGTGAGCAACTTAAGAGGTCCACTGAGGTAAAGGCAATGAAGTAAAGAAACAATTATAGAAAAGAATCTTGAACACAGATTTTAATAGTCTGTGACTAATAATTTTCCTCCCTTTGTTTGTATTTGTACTTTATGATATCTTTGACATATTTAGAACTGTAATTAGCTGATGATTTGTAATGCCCAATTGGTTGACCATTCATTTTCTGCCGGGAGTACAATTTGAAGAGGGTTGAGTTTCAATTTTCCTGTTTTCTTCATTATTATAAGTATTATTTAATCATAAAAGTAATTTTCCTATTAACCCAGTATTGGACAAAATGCCAGTATAATTTAAATCAAATGTTGTCTGGTTGCAAATAAGATCTAAGACAGCTTTACAGTCTCATTTTTTTTTTCCCTTTCCAATGAAAGCATCCTTTTCCTATTATATTAGCCCATTTTCATGCTGTTGATAAAGACATACCAGAGACTGGGCAATTTACAAAAGAATGAGGTTTAATTGGACTTACAGTTCCACGTGGTTGGGGAAGCTTCTCAATCATGGTGGAAGGCAAGGAGGAGCAAGTCTCATTTTACATGGATGGCAGCAGGCAAAGAGAATGAGGAGGGCACAAAAGTGGAACCCCCTGATAAAACCAGAACAGTATGGAGGAAATCACGGTTGTGATTCAATTATTTCCCACCAGGTCGCTCCCACAACACATGGGACTTTTGGGAGTACAATTCAAGATGAGATTTGGGTGGGGACACAGCCGAACCATATCATTCCGTTCCTGGCCCCTGCCAAATATCATGTCCTCATATTTCAAAACCAGTCATGCCTTCCTAACAGTCCTCCAAAGTCTTACCTCATTTCAGCATTAACTCAGAAGTCCACAGTCCAAAGTCTCATTTGAGACAAGGCAAGTCTCTTCTGCCTATGAGCCTATAAAATCAAAAGCAAGCTAGTTATTTCCTAGATACAATGGAGGTATAGGTACTGGGTAAATACAGCCATTCCAAATGGGAGAATTTGTCCAAAACACAGCAGCTATAGGCCCCATGCAAGTCTGAAAACCCACTGTGGGTAGTCAAATCTTAAAGCTCCAGAATGATCTCCTTTGACTCCAGGTCTCACATCCAGGTCATGCTTGATGCAAGAGATGGGTTCCCAGGGTCTTGGGCAGCTCCAACCCTGTGGCTTTTCAGGGTACAGCTTCCTGCCTGGCTGCTTTCGTGGGCTGGAATTGAGTGTCTGAAGCTTTTCCAGCTGCATGGTGCAAGCTGTTGATCTACCATTCTGGGGTCTGGAGGATGGTGGCCCTCTTCTCACAGCTTCACTAGGCAGTGCCCCAGTAGGGACTCTGTGTGGGGGCTCTGACCCCACATTTCCCTTCCATACTGCCCTAGCAGAAGTTCTCCATGAGAGCCCCGATCATGCAGCAAACTAATGCCCGGGCATCCAGGTGTTTCCATACATCTTCTGAAATCTAAGTGGAGGTTCCCAAATGTAAATTCTTGACTTCAGTGCACCCACAGGCTCAATACCACATGGAAGCTGCCAAGGCTTGGGGCTTGCACCATGTGAAGCTACGGTTTGAGCTCTTCGTTGGCCCCTTTCAGCCATGGCTGGAGCAGCTAGGATGCAGGCTACCAAGTCCCTAGGCTGCACACAGCTCAGGGACCCTGGGCCTGGCCCACAAAACCATGTTTTTCTCCTAGGCCTCCAGGCCTGGGATGGGAGGGGCTTCCATGAAGACCTCTGACATGCCCTGGAGACATTTTCCTCATTGTCTTGGGGATTAACATTTGGCAGATAATTATGCAGATTTATGCAGCTTGAATTTCTCCTCAAAAAATGGGATTTTCTTTTCTATCACATTGTCAGGCTGCAAATTTTTCAAACTTTTATATTCTGTTTCCCTTTAAAAGCTGAATGCTTTTAAAAGCACCCAAGTCACCTCTTGAATGCTTTGCTGCTTAGAAATTTCTTCCACCAGATACCTTAAGTCATCTCTCTCAAGTTCAGAGTTCCACAAATCTCTAGGGCAGGGGCAAAATGCTGCCAGTCTCTTTGCTAAAACATAACGAATCATCCTTGTTGCAGTTCCCAACAAGTTCCTCATCTCTATCTGGACCTTATTGTCCATATCGCTGTCAGCATTTTGGGTAAAGCCATTCAACAAGTGTCCAAACTTTCCCACATTTTTCTGTCTTCTGAGCCCTTCAAACTGTTCCAGCCTCTGCCTGTTACGTAGTTCCAAAGTCGCTTCCACATTTTTGGGTATCTTCTCAGCAGTGCCACACTCTGCTGGTACCAGTTTACTGTATTAGTCCGTTTTCATGCTGCTGATAAAGACATACCCAAGACTGGGCAATATACAAAAGAAAGAGGTTTAATTGGACTTGCAGTTCCACGTGGCTGGGGAAGGTCTCACAGTCGTGGAAGGAAAGGAGGAGCAAGTCCTGTCTTACATGGATGGCAGCAGGCAAAGAGAGAATGAGGAAGATGCAAAAGCAGAAACCCCTGGTAAAACCATCAGATCTCATGAGACTTACTCACTACCACGAGAATAGTATGGAGGAAACCACGCTCATGATTCAATTATCTCCCACCAGGTCCCTCCCATAACACATGGGAATTATGGGAGTACAATTCAAGATGAGATTTGAGTGAGGATACAGAGCCAAACCATATCACCTGTGTACCGTATATTATTTTCAGTAGGGGATAAAAATTAAGGGT